CACACACACACACACACACACACACACACACACACACACACACACACACGCGCGCGCGCGCACGCACGCACGCACACACACACACACATCTTCTCTCTCACTCACGCACAGTTCACCTTGGCCGTGGACAAGACCGTCAAGGTGTGGGACCTACGCAACCACAAGTGCCTTCAGACCATCGCCGAGGTGCGACAGCTGCAACCGCAGCGCCAAAAGTGGCGCGCGGGGCGCCCCGTAGTGGCTCGGGTCCTCTCTGTAGAGTCCCACTTGCAGGGGTCACCAGCGTGTCTGTTGAATGGGGCCAGCCAGGCGAAGGCAGCAGCCCGCAGGGTTTCAGGGTTCAGATGTCTCCGCTGTTTGTGATGGAAGCAGCCTGCTGCAGCCCAGCATGGGTGCTGGTCTTGGCCGCTTAAAGGGCTGCAGCCAACCACGCACGTGGCTCCAAGACCGCACGAGTGTGTCGCCCATGTGCATATATGGAGCGTGTGCTTGCGTGCACGCGGGAACGCACGCGCGTGCGACTGCCGGCGCCATGTGTCACGCTCGCTGTCATTGACCCAACCCCGCACTTGACTGCACACCTTCCCTCTTGCCATCCTTGCGCTGGCATCCCCCTCCCCCCCCCCCCAAAAAAACAAACAGGGTGACTGGCAGCGTCATGATGACTCGCGGCCGGGCTGCATGCTGTACGACCCGGCGCGCCGCCGCCTAGTCACCGCAGCCAGCCGGCCCTACGTGTGGCACCACAAGGTGTGCCGCGGTGTGCCGTGGTGTGCCGTGCCGTGTGTATTGTGTTGTGTTGAATCGGGCAGGGGCCCTGCCGAACAAGATGCCTTCAAGGGGGCAGACCAGCAGAGTGCGGACCCCCTTCAGTCATCTGCCGACCCTTCTTGTGGCCAGACCCCTCGATCCTATGACCAAACCTGCCAATAAGGTTTTGTCAATGCTTGGGCACAAGTCACCCTCTGTGGTCAGCCCTGGTCAAACTTGGTCAACCCTGGTCAACCCTGGTCAACCCTGGTCAACCTTGGTCAACCCCCTCAGGTGGTCACTCTTGACAAGACGGGCCACAGGGAGCCGCTGCGTGGCGTGCTGTACAACAGCACCTTCCACGTGGCTGTCTCAGTGGACGAGGGCGGAACCGTCTGCGTGTGGTGCATGCAGGTTGGTGCTGTTTGCATGTTCAGCGCTGGATGCGTTTTGAAAATGAATTTGGGCCAATTGCAAACAGCAACTCGGCCCGTGCATTGGTTGGCCTGTCAGGGGTTGAGAAAGGGACCGGGTGCTGAGAAATCGAGGGCCGGTTGAGCGTCGATGGTCGGGGTGTCGTGTCGCATGGGAAGGGCAGCATGCGGCACGATTTTGACGTCATGCAGACAGTCGGCGCGGGCTGATGCTGCTCCTCATTTCATGTGCAACCTGAATCGCTACAGGACGGCTCGAGGGAGGGCCGCTTCAGCAATGCCCACGGGGACAGCAAGGTGCGCGCGCGCGCGCGCGTGTGTGTGTGTGTGTGTGTGTGTGTGTGTTGCGTGTGTGTGTGTGTGTGTGTGTGTGTGTGTGTGTGTGCGTGCGTGTGTGTGTGTTGGGGGGGTGCGTGCGTGCGTGCATCTCAACTGGGGCAGTGAAGCCCTCTCGACACGGCAGTCTTGAATTCATGCTCACATCAAGTGGTTGCCTGGGCCTCAACAACATAAAACTGAATGTCTGCGATGGCGCCCCAGAGGTCTTTGTAGGACTCAACTCTCAGGGCTGCTGCAGCTCCCCCCAGCTTCCACGCCTCACGCCCGCCGGTCTGCACCTCGCAGGTGACTGCGCTGTCTTTTGACAAGAACGAGCGCCGGCTGGTGACGGCGGCCAACGACGCCTGCATACGCATGTGGAACTTCAACAACGGCAGCCTGCTGCGCACGTGAGGCGGCGACGCGCGGGCGAGGGGGGGAACGTGTTGCTGGGTTGGCTGCGCGGCGACTCCCTCGAAGGGCGGGCAGGGTTTGTAGGAGGTCGAAGCAGCTTGCAGCGGAGCAAATTGGCTCAAATCCAACCTGCGTGCCGATCGGCGCCAAACTCGATTCATCATCATCACCTATTTATCAAACCAAGACCTTACTCCCCTTGGCCCCAAGAATTGCCCCCAAGAAGCTGAACGTTCATACGACCCCTGGAATGATCCCTCTTGTTGTCTTTGTATCTGCCACTCGGCAGCTTCCAGCACGACCAGGCGCAGCTCGAGGTGACGTGCGTGCTGTTTGCGCGGGACGACAAGCGCGGCAGCGACTCTGTTTATGCTGCAGGATGGAACCACAAGGTGGGGACGGCGGTTTTCGGGTCCGATGGTTTCGAGGTCGGGGGTTGTTATGGTGGTGGTGGAGGTGGTGTGGGTCGGCACAGCCCCGCCCTGACTGGCCGCCTGCTGCTTGTCCCTCTCCCTTCATCCAGGTGTTTGTGTGGCAGGACGAGGGGGAGGGGGAGGTGACCCAGTACAGGACCTTTGAGGGCCACAGCGCCGACATTCTGTGCATGGCCGCGTGCCACACGCGCGCGATGCTCGCGACAGGTGGGGGACATGCGCGCGCGCGGGACTTGCCTACGTGCAATTGCAAGCGGTCGGGCGGGGCGGGGCAGTTGCGGTTGGCGGCATCTTGCATTGCACGCGGGGCGGGCGCACGGGGGTCGGTCAGTGGGGGGAGGCGGGGG